GAAAGGTAACTACTACTACTACTACTACTACTACTACTACTACTACTACTACTACTACTACTACTACTACTACTACTACTACTACTACTACTACTACTACTACTACTACTACTACTACTACTACTACTACTACTACTACTACTACTACTACTACTACTACTACTACTACTACTACTACTACTACTACTACTACTACTACTACTACTACTACTACTACTACTACTACTACTACTACTACTACTACTACTACTACTACTACTACTACTACTACTACTACTACTACTACTACTACTACTACTACTACTACTACTACTACTACTACTACTACTACTACTACTACTACTACTACTACTACTACTACTACTACTACTACTACTACTACTACTACTACTACTACTACTACTACTACTACTACTACTACTACTACTACTACTACTACTACTACTACTACTACTACTACTACTACTACTACTACTACTACTACTACTACTACTACTACTACTACTACTACTACTACTACTACTACTACTACTACTACTACTACTACTACTACTACTACTACTACTACTACTACTACTACTACTACTACTACTACTACTACTACTACTACTACTACTACTACTACTACTACTACTACTACTACTACTACTACTACTACTACTACTACTACTACTACTACTACTACTACTACTACTACTACTACTACTACTACTACTACTACTACTACTACTACTACTACTACTACTACTACTACTACTACTACTACTACTACTACTACTACTACTACTACTACTACTACTACTACTACTACTACTACTACTACTACTACTACTACTACTACTACTACTACTACTACTACTACTACTACTACTACTACTACTACTACTACTACTACTACTACTACTACTACTACTACTACTACTACTACTACTACTACTACTACTACTACTACTACTACTACTACTACTACTACTACTACTACTACTACTACTACTACTACTACTACTACTACTACTACTACTACTACTACTACTACTACTACTACTACTACTACTACTACTACTACTACTACTACTACTACTACTACTACTACTACTACTACTACTACTACTACTACTACTACTACTACTACTACTACTACTACTACTACTACTACTACTACTACTACTACTACTACTACTACTACTACTACTACTACTACTACTACTACTACTACTACTACTACTACTACTACTACTACTACTACTACTACTACTATAGCTAATAATAGTAGTGTGTTTAAAAAGAGGCAAACCAATGAATATATCTAGACAATGACATATGAACAATCGTTTTTTCTAATAATCATTTTTTTTATTCTATGTTACGTAGGCCTGGTATACCATCTAGATCAGTGAGTAAAGTTCATTAATATTAGTGTATATATTGAAGAAAAAAAACGTTTACAGCGATCAAACCAAGTCAGCAGATTTATCCATAAGGTTATTAAATGTTGGAAAATATTTTATCTCAAAATCAAGATTGTTTCGGGGGAGGAATGTTTTGTTCATTAATCTGGATGATTTAGTTCATATGATTTGATGACTTAAGCCACTATCAGGCTAATCACACGTTCTTCACAGGAGAACTAATGAAGCCGGATAGAGACAGATGATTTCATGAAGTCCATTAGGTTTTCAAGGCATATGACTAAATCTCCCATTCATACACACTGAAAATATAGTAATGCATAACCTTATTGATCTGTATCAGAAATCAATGATTTTTCAAGTCGATTTCTGAATGCTTCTCACAGTTATACATAGCTTCATTGACAATTCATCAATACAAACGCAATATGTATTAACATATCCACTGGAAAGCAGACGACGTAGTGTTATAAGACAAAATACTACAAGAAAATCATGCATGGAATTAGTTAACCATCTTAGCATTCCTACGTTACTGTCTCAACTTTTATTTATTGAACTGTGGATAAAGTAGCTCTTTGAAGTTAATGGTCGTTCCGCATGTACAGTAATCAATGTTAACAGACATATTATTAGCAAAGATGGATTGGACTAGCAGGAAAAGACGGAAGGAGATAGAGGAGAGGTTGTAAGTATGAATTTCACCATGCTTATATGCGATCATTTTAAGTATTCTTAACAATCAGAATCTTGTCGTGATTCATCTGTGGAGGAATTCCTTTACTCTACATTAGATTTACATAATGTGTGGTTCAATAATCCAATCATACAATGAAGAGCACGTAAATGTGTATTGAAATGGTTTACAAATAAAAAAAGACGAATCATAAACTGAAGTAAGGCTTCTTCAAGAAACGAAGTTCCACACAGAGCTTTGTTGTCGAGAAATGTACTAGTCTATAGGCGAAACAAAAAAACAATCTAAAAAGTTTCGCTTCATCATCGAAACATTTGGTTTTTAAGTGTCTCTGGGAATGTTTTCCGTTTACATTGAATCTTCATGAACAAAATCTTCCTTGGAAAGTCAGAGGTGTGTTTTGTTTGATATTCTGGTTTTAGAGTACAATCACTACATCTGGACGAAGGAGATGGTCCTTAAGTACTTACTAAATGTTTTAGGTTTACGGTGGGTTGTGCTCTTCATTCATATTCATGTAAGGCAAAGAGCGAGTAAATAGGTTTTAATTTCCTTCACAAATCAAAGGGATCCAAATCTAATGGTTGGTAAAACCCTCGTTTCAGGTTACTATGTGCTTAGTATATCTTGGTGAGAAGTTGTTTGATTTTAGTTTCACTACGAAATAATAAAAATTAATTCTCAGTTCAATGTTTCCATTGACTTTGACTTGATCAATTGTATTCATTTAAATAGCTTCTTTTGGAATCTCGGCTTCACCTTCAAATGGGAAGGAAAATTTAGGTAAGTCAAGGCACAATAAGATAAACACAAGACACACTACAGTTCATCAATGATAAACAGAACGTAAATATGCAGAAATCTTGGTAGTTCAACAACCACTGAAAACCTAGAAGCATTGGACTGTCATTTCATCCAAGTATGCAACTAGTCAGTAGTGAGCAATCATCGTCCTGACAATGATCACCGATAGCAATAAAAGACAACTTTATAATACCATTAATTGAATGAATTTAAGAATATTAATCACTGACAATAAAATTAATGATCATAAAATCGACTCTTGTTGAAGTCTTAGTTGTTCACTCGTTTAGAGTTCCATACCACTACGAAACATCTATTCAACACCTAATACTTGTCAATGTTTATTAAACTGAATGTCACTCAATGATGTCAGCTAATGATAAACTTCATTCAAATATGCAACTTGATTATGATTTTCAAGTATTTCCGAAGAACACATTCTGTCTTTGAACAATTCGATACTCCCATTTCTATTCAATTTCCACTTAGAAATTCAATTCTCATTACCAAATCTCGTATCTCCAGTTACAGTCGTTTATAAAGACCACAGAATCCGTTTCATTAGTAAAAGTGTTTCATAAATAAATCACTAAGTAACCACATGTAACAATTTCAACTCGGCTGAATAAGAAAAGAATGAAAAGGGACACCGTCTAATGAATTTCAGTGCAACTATCTCATTCTTATACATTGATACTGTTTCTGCTCTATTTCTATGAAGTGAACCGATGATCTCATCTCTCAAATATTTTGCTTATTTTTCCTCATCAAAAATAGAATGAAGTTGTGTGGCAGATTGTTTGAAGATGGGAAAAGCGTTAAATAGTGATCACATGGTGGCTAGCGGAAAATATCTCATTTCCAAGTGATAATTCTGAGATGTACGAGCCTTGTGTTTGTGTGTTTGCACGAAACGAAATAATTCTGAATTTGATCTCTTCCTTTTTCTTTGGTTATCGTTTATCGATTTTAATTTATGTGGTTGTTTGATAAGTCCTTATTCTTTCCTCAATAAATCATCTCACTCTCTCTTGTAGTTTAATTGACCTGCTTCGATATACATAAACCAATGTATTGAAATATCTTGCGTGCACATGGTGTACTTTACAGATTTCCAGTGAATATTTATGTGAATATGCAAGACTGATCACTTGGAGTCTTCAATAACATCAAACTGGAAAACGCAATCGATTGTATGTCATTGCTCAACTTCAAGAATCATTTGTGACCAAATGCCAATATTGAGATAAATCACTCAGAATTTATAAATGACAACTGAGATTACTTGATTACAGTGGTCTAACAAATAAGATGGACTACGGAAGTTGTATAAGCAAATCATATCGAATAATCTTATACATTCTTTCAACTCCTCTAATATACTGAACCATACTGACTGACGTATAGTCTCGAATTCATTAATATTTCACAAAAGAGATTTTGTGCATATTGTAATGATCATTGATAGTTTGTGACATTTTCTCTATTTTTGCTTTTCCTATTTAACACAGTATGCATTAGGTCCTTCACCATGGTTAAGAGAATGATCAACAAATGACTTTACCAGGTTGTTATTATTCAGTTGTAGAATGTGTAAATCTAATCAAGTTGTTCTGTTGGATTTCATATTGAAACATCTACAAATGTATATGATTTATTCAACAGAAACAATCTAGATCATACGCATAATAGAAGTAACCATAATAACCAGATTAAATATTGATCTTGATCTTGCAGTTGATGAATTAACAGAAGATCTTAAGTTCCAGTTCATGGAGTATGTCACAAAAATAACTAAAGATCGTTCAAGCAAGAAACATATCCAACTTCTCAAAAGCCTAGAACATCAACCGGTTGAAAATAAATTTCCAACTGATCGAAAAAGGGATGTGCATAATTTTCCCAGTACTGAATTAAATAAAGAAAAACTTGACGTACTAGCACTTGGTCTAAAATTCTGTGATACACGAAACCGCGTAAATCAAATCGATACGGACATCCAATTTGAAAACCTAAATCGTCAGATCCAGTCCCGACATCTGATCAGGAACTTTAAATTTCAAATCAAACCTAGTTGACTGCTGCTATCAGTTTAAGAATAGTAGATATGACTACAGAAGTATTTTAACTAAGAAACACAGGGAAGCTATCAATGAACTCATTAGTGACGAGAAACTGATTATCACAAAACCCGATAAAGGAACAGGAACTGTCTTACTTAATAAAAAAGATTACAGTGACAAGATAAATAACATTTTGAATGATATTCAAAAATTTCAGAAACTGAATAACCAAAAAGATGTCAATATTCAGATAGAGAATGGACTGAACAGATCTTTAAGAAAACTCAGAGACCAACAGATTATTCCAACAGACGTATACGAAATAATTAAGCCGATAGGTACGCATTTACCTCGGTTATACAGACTGCCAAAGATACATAAATCGGATATCCCATTAAGGCCAATTTCGGACATGTACGATTCCACATATCATACTGTAGCAAAGTGGCTAGTAACCGTTTTGAAACCACTCCGTAATCGTCTGGTGAAACATAGTGTTAAGGATGTATTCCAATTCGTTGACAAGATTGAAAACATAAACACGAAAGATCAGACGATGATGTCCTTTGACGTAGCATCACTCTTCACAAATGTCCCACTAAGAGAAACTGTAGAATATACATGTGAACAATTTAGAGAACAGGAACTGGAAACGACAATCATTGTGGAGATCATCAAAGAATTATTACTAAAATGCACTATGAATGTACATTTCAAATTCAATGGTGAAATCTACAGACAAATAAATGGTGTCGCGTTGGGTTCACCCCTGTGTCCCATATTGGCAGACATTTTCCTTTCTAAACTGGGAAGTGGCCCACTAGCACAAGAGATCGATAAGTTTTCGTTTTACTGTCGATATATGGATGATACATTTATCCTTTGCAACAACGAGACGGACGTCCTAGAAACATTTGATCGATTCAATACTGTTCACCCGTTCATAAAAATCACATGGGAGAAGGAAAATGGGGGTAGGATAGCCTTTCTAGATGTTCAACTTGCAACGAGAAAGGACGGGTCGCTAAAAAGAAACATAAACAGGAAAATTACCTGGACGGGTCAATATACTAACTTTCTTAGTTTCGTTCCTCTACAACAAAAAAGAACCTTATTAAGACACTACGCCATAGAATCAAGACTATATGCACTGTGGATACGGTTGACGATGAAACTAAGGCAATATTCAAAACCCCGAAGGAAAATGGACATCCTGAAAAATTTATGTAGCCAATAAAAGACATCGTAGAGAATGTCTAACGGTAAATAAACAGCCTCTATATATACGCTTACAATTCAGAGGCGACGCACCGAGCGAAATTCTAAGACCTAAGTTA